AGAACATCTTTATTTGGTGTCAGTTCTAGAAGGTGTTGTAAGTCTTCCTAGAATTAGTCAATTTCAGCCTCTTCAGCATCAGAAGCTGGTGCATAAACTTGGATGACTGTGATGTTGAAAGGTCTGCCTTGGATTCATATTGAAATCATTCTATCATTTTTTAGATTGTATCCTAGTTACAGCTTTTCCCACTCTTTTGTTGACTATCAGGGCTACTCCATTTCTTCTATGGGATTCTTGCCCACAGTAGTAGCTATGGTAATCGTCTGCATTGAATTTGCCCGTTCCTGTGCATTTTAGTTCACTGACATCAAGGATGTCAATGTTTATCCTTGCCATCTCCTGTTTGACCACATCCAGCTTACCAGGGTTCATAGATCTTACGTTCCAGGTTCCCATGCAGTATTTTTCATTGCATCAGACTTTCCTTTCACTTCCATGCACGTCTGCAGCTGAGCATCCTTTCAGCTTTGGCCCAACCACTTTGGCCCAACCACTTCATTAGTTCTGGAGCTACTTGTACTTGTCCTCTGCTCTTCCTCAGTAGCATGTTGGACGCCTCCCGACCTGAGGGGCTCATGTGCCAACATCGTATCTTTTAGCCTTTTGTTTCTGTCCATGGAATTTTCTTGGCAAAGATATTGGAGTGGCTTGCCAGTTCCTGCTCCAGGTGGATCGTGTTTAGTCCGGACTCTCCACTATGACCTGTCCGTCTTGCGTGTCCTGCACAGCATAGCCCATAGCTTCTCTGAATTACTCAAGCCCCTTCGCCACGACAAGGCAGAAATCCGTGAAAGGGCTACATCCTAGTGTAGGCAGTGAAAAGGGAGGGAGGGATAAAACTCACAGGAGCCACTTTTGAGGGCTTACGTCTTGCAAACTCTCTCACCCCTGAGTTTTCTGTTCCTAGAAAAGTTTAGAAGCCATCCCATAAGAAATTACAGGGTGCCCCCCCCACCCTACAAATCAATCCCAGGAACAGATAACTAGTCACATCTGGTTGTAATCTTTCTCCAGTTTCTCCTGTCATATTAAGTACACCTCACATACACAGTGTCAAACCTCCTCGTCAACTGTCCCCTTATTTCTGGGGTTTTTGCTGTGCCAGAACTAAAAAAGAGCAACACACATAATAACACTTATGCCTTGAGCCAGTGACACCTGGTGCCGGCTGGGAATGGGTGCTCAGCCACCTCACATACACAGTGTCAAACCTCCTCTTCTTCTAGCTGCTTGCCTTGAGTTTTGTTTGTCTGCTTGGAGAAGCACAGAAATTCCCAGAGACTTTGGCTGGTGCCCTGAGAGCTGCCAACCTTACTCAATACCCTCTGCATTGTATTGTCAAGAAAACTTCTTTTCCTCTTTATAAAAGTGGATATTTTGGAACTTGTGATGCTTCAGAACAAAGTGATCAACATACACTGACCAGCCACAACATTAAAACCACGGACAAGTAAAGTGAATAGCCTTGATTATACCATTACAATGGCACCTGTCAAGGGATGGGGTATATTAGGCAGCAAGTGAAAAGTCAGTTCTTGAATTTCAATGTGTTGGAAGCAGGAAATACAGGTAAGCGAAAAGATCTGAGTGACTTTGACAAGGGCCAAATAGCGGTGGCTAGTTGACTGGGTCAGAGCATCTCCAAAACAGCAAGTCTTGCAGGCGTGTTCCTGACAAGCAGTGTTTGGTACCTACCAAAAGTAGTGTGAGAAAGGAAAACTGGTGAACCGGCGTCTGTGTCGTGTGCACCCAAGGCTCATTGATGCATGTGGGGAGCAAAGGCTAGCCCATCTGGTCCAGTCACACAGAAGAGGTACTCTAGCTCAAACTGCTGAAAACCTTAATGCTGGCCACAATACAAGGGTGTCGGAACAGACAGTTCATCACAGTTTATCACATATGGGGCTACATAGCCACAGACCGGTCAGTGTCCATGATGATCCCTGTCCATTGCTGAAAGCACCTACAATGGGGACGTGAGTTTCAGAACTGGGCCATGCACCAATGGAAGAAGGTTGCCTGGTCTGATGAATCACATTATCTTTGAGATCAGGTGAATGGCCAGGGTGTGTGTTCATCATTTACCTAGGAAGAGATGGCAGCAGGGTGCCTTATGGGAGGAAGGCTGGTCGGCAGAGGCAGTATTATGCTCTGGGCAACGTTCTGCTGGGAAATCTTGAGTCCTGGAATTCATGTGGATGTTACTTTGACACGTACCACCTACCTAGGGATTGTTCCAGACCACATACATCTCTTCCTGGCAATGGTGTTCCCTGATGGCAGCGGCCTCTTTCAGCAGGATAATGAACCCTGTCACACTGTAAAAATTGTTGAGGGATGATTTGAGGAACATGACAAAGAGGTGTTGCCTTGGCCTCCAAATTGCCAAGAACTCAACCCAGTTGAGCATCTATGGGATGTGCTGGAACAGCAAATCCAATCCATGGAGGTCCCACCTCACAACTGGCAGGACATAAAGGATCTGTTGCTAATCTCCTGGTGCCAGATACCACAGGACACATTCAGAGGTCTTGTGGAGTCCATGCCTCGATGCATCTGAGCTATTTTGGCAGCGTGAGGGGGACTTACGTGATATTAGGCAGGTGGTTTTAATGTTGTCGCGATCAGTGTATGCGTATGTGTGGTATGGGCGAGGAGAGAGAGAGAGAGAAAGGGAGAGAGAGAATATTTCAGATGCGTTCTGCGTCATTTTTTAAATGTGTGGAACAGCAAGTCAAGTCAGTAGGACCTAATCTCACCCTCCTTTTCTCCCTACAGATGAAAAGTGAAGACAAAATGATGGAGAAGCTGAAGAGCCCTCCTCCGCCTCCTGCCTCTGAGCAGCCAGATCCACCTCCCCCTGTTTCTCCAGTGCCCCTCTCCTCCCCAACTAGTGGGGAAGAGGAAAGAGAGACCACCCCACCTCCCACCAGCCCCGTATCATCTCCTCCTCAAACCAAGGGGAGTCCTCTCTCTGAGGCTCCCCCAACGTCGCTGCCCCACAACATTCCAGTCATCAGCCTAGGCTACAGTAAGCAGCATCCTCCCCACACTGAGGTCCCCACTACCCAGCTGACAGCACTGCACCCCATTCCCAACTTCTTGCAATTCTCAGCAGTGCCACCTGGTCCTCCTCCACCTCCCATGCCTCTTCCCGGAGTAAGGAGCCCCCTCTTGACCCCACAGTATCCACCCCATCCTTTCCTCAACAGGTAAGTCCTGGCTGGATTTTCAGGGGTGGGAGTGGGAAGAAACCCAAACTCTGTGGGTGGGTAAGATTTTACTTTTTTGCATTACAACTCCCAGAATTTGCCACTCGGTTTAACTATAATCCAAAGAAGCAACATTTCCAAGCTCTGTCTAGTTTAACATTTTGATTTGTTTTACAGTAGCTATCCCACCTTTAAAAAAAAATGATGGGCGACCGCCAGGCTAAATACCTGTGGCAGACCCTCCTTGGTTAATCTTGAATACCCACCCACCCTCTGTTGACTAGTGCTGTTGTTGGCCTCTGGGGCTAGAGGTTAGGAACACAGCAGCTGTTTATGCATCACCAAAAGAGAATACATGAATTTACATAAAATTTTCACATGACACCATAGTAAAAATGCAAATGTAGAAACAATTGCAATAATGTAAATAAAAGTACCTCTTATCATAATGGTAAGAATGACCTGATGGCCTGTGATTGGCAACTTCAACATTTTGCTATGCTTCCTTGTAAGTCCTTAAGTCAGATGTGGACCAGATGCAGCCCTTCAAACATATGGTTCTCCTCTGTAAAACAGAACACACAGCCATCCTATGGGGGTGCCAAGGAGCAGCACGCCTCCTAGATCAGAGTGTTGGCCCCGGTGGGGTGGAACTCGAGGGTGGCAGGGAACTGCATCTTGCAAATGAAGGGGGCAGAGTCTGGTGGCTTTGGGATGGAGCTTACTAGACACAAGGAGCAGGGCATAGTGTGCCGCAAAAGCCCTGAGTGAAACTAGACAGTGAACAGCCCAACACTCCTTACTGGTGTCTCCCCCACCTAAGATTTTACTCCTTATTCAAATGAAGAGAGGCAGTAGGCTAAAAGTCTGCAATTTCAGGTCAAGCCCAAAAGCCTCAACCCCTTTGCCCCTCTTGTCTGGTTTTTTTTAAAATACTGTATTGTTCTGGGTTTGCTCAATTTCAAATTTATAAAGATATCTTACTGTTTGTGTGGGCGGGAATGAGGATGCCATTAACAATGGCTGAATTAACACAGGAAATTAGGACTTGAAAAAGAAGATAGGAATCTGATTGTTTTATGGCAAGCCGATTGCTGGAAAATCATTCATTTGGAAACTGAGGATCACAATATACCTAGCATATAATTAGAGGTTGCTTTATGATTTTGTGCTATGTCAACAACAGCAACAACAATAAAACTCAAGAAGGGGAAAGAATAATTGTAACTGTAATTACAATTATTTAATTTCTGCTCTTGTTTATTGAGTGGAACTTGCTTCTTGTTTTCAAAATGATGTGTTATGAAACCTCTGTAAAAAAGAAAAGTAAAGAAAAAGACACCCCCACACCTATAGTCATTGTGCTATTGCTTGATTGGTGTGCTGCCCTTTCTGTTTTGTAGTGGGTGGAGGGATCTATTTTGGCTTCTTTTTAAAGGGTGGTTAAGGGAATGTGGAACAAATGCATTGCTGAACAAATAAAAATGGCAAGAAAGTGACTTTTAGACTGGATGTGAAACAATCCTTAAGGGCACTCACTACCTTTCAGAAAGCTGGGATCTCTTCCAGCTCCAGCTAAAGGCTATGCCTTTGTAGTTCCAATATAAAAAGACCATAACTCAGCCCGAAGCTTTCAGTTTATCTGGAGATTATGCCCTCCAGCTCAAATCTTGGAATAGCTAGTTAGAAAGAGCAGGTTATTTGTAACTGATTCATTACTTGGATAAACATGTGGTCAAATTGCAATACAATAGCATTAACGACAAGTAACTTTATTCCTTTTGTTCTGCAGCTTTTTAGATTCTTTTTAATGATGGGCTGCAACCCCACTAAAAAGATTGTGAAGGAACATCACATGGTTCATGTGCTGCATATTTATTTTTAATGCTGTCTCAGGTGGCTTGTAGTATCAAAAAAAAAAAGTTCAAGGAGAGCAGATATAGCTGAGCAGTTTGGAGTATCTGGCTGTGGAGTTAGGTGTCAGGAGCTAAAATTCGCACTATGTCTCCCAGAACGTGGGCCAGCTGAGATCATTTAGAACAGATCGAAAGCATGTGGACTGATGGGGGGGGGGTCTACATGCTCTGCCCTTCATACAGCCTTCGGCAAGCTATATGGTCCTAAAGTACCTCCAGAGGAAAGCACTGGGAAACCAATCTGAGATTGGTTTCTGGGAAACCCTGTGGAAATTGCCATAAGTCTGAATTTACTTAGTTGTGAAATTGTTTTTAGAAAAAAAACCAATTACCATAAAAAGCAATTATTTAGTTATTTTGGGAATAAGTAACATATTACTTTAATGGGTAACATATTACTGTCATGTAACTACACTGACAACTAGTGAACTACTACCGTGTTTCTCCAAAAATAAGACAGGGTCTTACGTTAATTTTTGCTCCAAAAAAACACATTAGGGCTTATTTTCAGGGGATGTTTTTTTTTTTCATGTACAACAATCTACATTTATTCAAATACAGTCATCTCATCTTCTGGTTGTTGCACAATGGTGGAGGGCAGGGTTTCCCTTAACTGGGGCTTATTTTCAAGTTAGGTCTTATTTTCAGGGAAACAGGGTATATAACAATTTAACAAACCTCTTTTAAAGATTAATTTTTTCAAGCTGTGCACCAGATGTTGTTTGACTACAGCACCCAGCAGACCTAGCCAGCATAGATGGAGGTGAGGCACGATGGGAGCTGTCATTCAATAACATCTGGAGGGCAACCAATTCTCCACCTCTGGCTTACACTCATTCAGTCATCATAGGTTCTTCTCACTCTTTTTGGAAGTGCTTTAAAATCACCTGTACAAAGTTATGTTGCTGAGCTGTAGAATTGTTTTAATCTTCTCTTCCTGCTCCCCCCCCTCTCTCTATACACACACAGCATCCACTTGTGTTGCACATACGGTAGTGTATCTCAATCCATCGAGAGCTGAGGTGTCCCTTAGTCTATGGCTTGTGGCACCCATAGTCAAGTGGGGTCAGGGTGCATATGGGATGAAGAAGGAACTCGTGTAACCTCTCCAGTAGAAAGTGGGGTTCTCTCCTTCCCAAACAGGGTTGTGTGTGCTAGAAATGCTCTGGGCAGCCAAAATACCCCCCCTGGGCTGATACCTGAGAGGCCACTAGAACCATGTCCAGATGGCAGGGCTTCCAGCCTCTCTTTGGCAGCCAACTGGTCACCCTGTGGGAGGGCAAACAAAATGGCGCCCCCAGGCTTGTAGTGGCTGCCAAGCCTACTCTCAGTACCTGGGAAGATTGAAGGGGGTGGGTGGGGGAATTTGCTAAAATAACCGTGCATGTTAGTGAGAGAACATTTTATTTTGTGGGATTACATATCCCCAGCTGCTTCTGGCTGTGGGATTCAGGGGGAGGGGGAAACGGTGTTCAATGGTCTGTAAATATGGAAAACATACCTCTGGTTCCATGAATTTGGCTTTGCCTCCTGCTGGGCCTTAGGAGCCTCCCCTCCGGCGGTTCCTCCTCAAGACCAGCGAGCAGCCTCTTTCCCGCCTCTTTCCCTTCCCCGGGAAGCACGGCAGAGCCTTCTCCTGACCTCTAGTGGAAGTGAGAGGGATAATCCGGGGAACTGGCCTTGGCCTGTGGGTTTTATACTTTGCTGGGCTGGCTGCTAATCCAGGCAGGGTTCCCCCCCCCCTTTAATTGAATTGGAAGCGTGCTTCCTCCTACAGCTTGGATGTTCACTTCACCTGGTGCTTGCCTACGTAAACCCACCGTCCGCAGGGTCCACGCTCTCAGAAATCCCGAGCCTGCAGCTGTTGTACAAAATAA